TCTCCCTGAACTTCAATTTTCTCACCTAAATAGTGAAAGGTTGGGCTACCAATTAAAATATCTAATATTTAAGATCATTCTAAGTCATTTAAGCATATTTTTTCAATTAAAAATCGTAATAATTCTGTGATGAAGGTAGTATGATTATTCCCACTTTACTGAAGTATAAACTAAGCCATATAGAAATTTACCAACTCGTTTTAAATTACATAGTTAGTAAATGACAGAACCTGGTTTTGAACCTCTGTGGTCTGACTCTAACCTAATGGTTAGCTTCTATCCATTTTGATAGATAGCCTCTAGATCAGGAATTTCAAACAGATGACTCAGGAAGTAAATATGAATCACAAACGCTTAGTTTGCCCACAGTCTGTATCAAATACCTAAATCTCTGTTCTTTCAGGTGGAGTCAGCACCACTGGGTGTTCAGCCCTATATACACATATGTTCTTACGATCTGCCACTTACATATTAATGTTAACTTCCTAATCCCCGAAATCACTTTAGTTTGTAATCCTGGAGTGGATCACTTCTAAAATCAAATCCGGTCATCCACAATTCAAAATAATTTGAAATAAAAGCCAGTTTGCCTATGTGGCTAGGCACTATACAAAGATGATCACAAATTCAAGTCTTTACCTAAAGAACTTATACTCTTAGGAGGACATACTGACATGAATAAACATTTGCCAAAATGTGAGTAGTTTAAAAATGCAGAAGTATATACAGGTGTATGTATCAAAATGCAATTGAGAGCACAAGGAGAAGCACCCTTGTCACCGTGGTGGGAAGCACTGATAATGGGACAATGGACAATTGGAGCCAAGAGTTAAGTTAATAACCGGGCTGGGTCTAGCTTTTACTTTATCTGACCAGCCTTTCCCAGAAACTGTTTCAAGTAAAGAGAGGCAGCAGTGTCTCTAATGTCATCACTACAAAGAGCTCCTCGCAGATGATTTAAAAAAGGAGCAAGTCCACTTGATTTGGGCAACTGGGAGGTGGGAGAAGCAGGAAAGAAAGTTCTGGATCTTTGTATTGGAGATTCTTTGTCGAATTTCAGCTTCTGGCCTTGAACTCTCTAGGTCACCTTGACTAAGACCTCACTTCCTTATTTGTGCTTACGCACCTCATAGAATTACAATTCCTTCTGAGATGCATGAAAATGGAAAGAAGCCTTACTTTTACAAACCATGTGATGACATCGTGTTGTGCTGGTGTGGAATGAATGCTCAAGAACCCAGTAAGAGGGGGAATCGCAACTGCAGGAAACACAGATTAAATTCACTTACCCTGTTAAAAATGCAATAGAAATGTCTCCTTTTTTCCAGATGTTTTGGTCATAAAAATGAATGAGCTAAGTTATCTTAGACTAAACTAAAGTAAAAGAAGTGGGAGGAAAAACAACTTAGAACATCAGGGCATGGTCAGGATTAGAAGCAACCAGGTTTGCTATGAGTACATATAAAGGTAATGCTGTCCTGGGGCTGTGTCACCTGGTAAACAGGTAGTTACTCCAGGCTTTGGGGTAAGAGACTGCTCCCATGTAGCTAGGATTCTGGGATGTTTGCCTGAGATGTCCTTAATTTGCCAAAGTCACTCAACTAATAAATGACATTAGTAAGCTCTAAACCCAACACTGTCTTAATCAAGAAGCTAACTTTTTAAATACCATATCAGTAGGGATATAAATTTGGTCTGCATCAAAATGACCTGGAGATCTTAATAAGCATGCAGACTACTGTGTCCTGCTGCCTGAGATTATGACTCAGTATGTCTGGTGCACAGCCTTAGATTCCACCATCTGAACAAGCCCTCCAGATGA